GATGCATTTATGCTGGTTTTCATGGTGAATTTCCTCTAAATTGTTTGGAAGAACAAACTGTGAAATAAATAAAGATTGTGCTGTCACAGTGTTCAAGGATTGTCTGGAGAAATGGCTTTAAAGTCATTTGCCTAATTTCTAAACAATCACATCAAGACTCACCGTCTCCAAGATCACTGATCCGATCCAAAGAGTCAACCTGGAAGCGTGTAAACAATCTAGTGATGTTTGTATGATAAAAACTACGTTTAAAGCATTTTTTTAAGAGTTTCTTTAGAATTAGTGTACGACCCATATGATAAAATGAGTCATAGTAATGATTTTACTTGTGAATTAAAGTGGCATTTTCCAGCAAAGTCATTGACCAGATTCATCACTAAATTATTTTTGGCTACGTCCAAAAATGAAACCCATTTTCCATAAGAAAGACCAGCCTCACCGCTCTGAGAGCATTTTTAACTGTCTTGTTTCCTTTTCTTTTTCTTGAGAAAAGTCTCATACATTCAGGAGAGTCTACACGAACCACTTAAGGAATAATAACAAAATAAACATCTGTGTGCTTACCACCTAGGTTCATAAACAGAACCTTACCCAAGATTGATTACACAACTATGGGGCCTAGTGCAAAATGAAAATGAGGGAGCCCTTATTCAAAAAGCAGGAATAATGTGCTATTAAATGTACTTAAATATAAAGCTTTTTCCTTTCTTCCATGTTTCTCCTCCACTCCTGTGCACACTCCACTATCCCATCAGACTTCTCTTATAAAACACAAGTTCAAACAAAACATTAGCAAGATTTCAAAGCACCACAGCAGAGCATTAAACCAAGTGCAGGGCCCTGGTGAGCATGGGGCTCCGTGTGACTGTGCAGGTTGTTTTCTCACGAAGGTAGCCCTGAACTTGGAAGCCCTGTGTGCCTTGCTCCAAATGTTTCTCCTTCGCTCTCTCCCGGAGCGAGTACAATTTCTCAAGGATGACTTGGTGATTGAGGCATCTTTGGAGCAAGTATGTAGCTCCTAGAGCACACCATTCATTCAGATGTACTTGTGTTTGATTGGGGGAAAAAAACTTTCTTACTTTAGAGTCACACCTGACAAGGTGCAGTCACCATATATAAAGGATATGACTTAGTAAGGCAGACAAAACATACAACCATGAGAAGTTAGAGAACAATATGAGAAAAAGTAAAACAAGAGGAGAAAAGCGCTAGAATGATGTGTCAATTGCACATGTCGCATGCTCGTGTCACATTTCGAGAAGGATATTGACAAAGTGCCTCAAGAAGAAGGACCACAAAGGTAAAAGGAGTGGAAACCACATGGTACCCCTCGAAGGATCCACTGAGGAAAATCGGGGAAGGAGGACCCAGCAGGCATGATAGCTGTCTCCAGTTGGTTGTCAAGTGGAAGAGGGACTCAACTTGCTCTATATGGTCTCCAGGACACTAAATATAAAGAAGACCTTATCCAAGATGTGGAACTTACCAAAAGGAGGAATGAGCTGCCTGGGGAGGCAGTAAATTCTTCATCACTGGAGGTATTCAAAGAGAAGCTGGTAATGTTGCAAGTAGTAGGTATATTCAAGCACCAAGTGGGTGGTGAGACTAGGTGACTTTTAAGGACTTTTCCAACCCTAAGTTTCCATCATTCACACTCACATAAGCCAGGGACAGAGTGGTCACCAAAGAAATGTTCTGTATTCACAGGAAGGAGAGATCACTGACCATCTGGCACGTTAACCTCTAAGCCAGTGTTGTTCAAACTCCAGGGTTGCCAGCCATTTCAGCTTATGAAATCAAGTGAGTTGACTAACATTTTTTAAAATGAAATTGAGTAAACAGAATGCATCACAAGTAGGAAGGACAAGTGTGAATGTGAGTGTGTGTGTGATATTTACTGTGAATCTAGGTAAAAAAAAGTTCCTTTGAAAGCTTGAAAACCAGACACGGTCTCTCGAATACCATTTTCCCTCGTTTAGGGCTGTCCATGGTAAACTGGAGGTACAGCTGGTGAGAGAGACTGCAGGTCCAACGAGGCAGGTCAAAGTATTGTAGATAAGGTGAGCTTTGATAAACTTTGAAGGAGACAGGCCACCAACCAGATGAGATCGTGGATTGCAGGCAGGGGGAGCAGGTGAATCACAGGGATAAAACGGTAAATGAATTCCTGAAGTGGAGGAATTTGGGAGTGCTGACACACAAGGGATGTGTGACATTCAAACTGGAAAGTAATATGAGAATGAGCACTCAGATAATAAGAAACCAGAGGATGTTACAACCATCATTATAATAATTTATATAAGAATCATCAGGGGCCGGCCCCATGGCTGAGTGATTAAGTTCATGTGCTCTGCTTTGGTGGCTCAGGGTTTCTCCGGTTCAGATCCTGGGCACGGACATGGCACTGCTCATTAGACCATGTTGAGGCGGCGTCTCACATACCACAACTAGAAGGACCCACAACTAAAATATACAACTATGTACTGGGGGGGTTTGTGGAGAAAAAGCAGGAAAAAAAAGGAATAAAAAGAAGATTGGCAACAGTTGTTAGCTCAGGTGCCAATCTCAAAAAAAAAAAAGAATCATCAATCGATGTTAAGACCATTGTGCAAAAGGCTATTAGGGACAATATATTGCCATAGTCTCAAAGTTTAACTACATGGCTTCTTCATTGATTATAAAAGGAAAAAACCAGCTTTACAATGGACGAATCTAGTGGCCATCACCTCAACCAAGAGATCAAATGTAACATCATCAATAAAGGGGCAAACAGTATACATGTGACCCCTGATAATGTCCTGAGAGGACATTAATATACTGGGCAGACAATATCACTATGTAGTATCCTTGCCAAAATATTTAACTTGAATCTAATCCTGAGGAAACAATCAGACAAACCAAATGGAAAGACATTCTACAAAATTGGCCTGGATTGTTAAAAATGTTAGTATTATAAAAGAAGGGGAAAGACTGTAATGGCCTCTGATGGTCTTAAGTGTCAGAGGCAAGTATTAATGTGTCCATCGTCCTTAGTCCAGGAGTCTCCAAGAACACGACCAATGTCTCCTGAGGCTCTTTGTTAAGTTAGAAGGGACAACAGGAAACTGAGGATACAGAGACCCCGTGCTGGGCACTGGACGCAGCCCTTTTTTTTTTAAGTTAATTTTTATTGAGTTTATGATAGTCTACAACCTTGTGAAATTTCAGTTGTACATTATTGTTTTTCAGTAATGTTGTAGGTGCACCCCTTCACCCTTTGTGCCACCCCCCACCCCTCCTTTCCCCTGCTAGCCAGTAATCTGTTCTCTTTGTCCACGTGTTTAAATTCCTCATATGAGTGGAGTCATGCAAGAGATTTTCCTTCTCTATCTGGCCTATTTCACTTAACATAATTCCCTCCAGGTCCATCCATGTTGTTGTGAATGGGATGATTTTATTCTTTTTTATGGCTGAGTAGTATTCCATTGTGTATATATATACACCACATCTTCTTTATCCAATCATCAGTTGATGGGCCTTAGGTTGCTTCCACATCTTGGCTATAGTAAATAATGCTGCAATGAACATTGGGGTACATAGGACTTTTGGAATTGCTGACTTCAAGCTCTTTGGATAGATACCCAGTAGTGGGATGGCTGGGTCAAATGGTATTTCTATTTTTAATTTTTTGAGAAATCTCCATACTGTTTTGCATAATGGCTGCACAAGTTTGGATTCTCACCAGAAGTGTATGAAGGATCCTTTTTCTCCACAACCTCTCCAACACTTGTTACTCTTTGTTTTGGTTATTTTTGCCATTCTAATGGGCGTAAGGTGATATCTTAGTGTAGTTTTTTTGTTTGTTTGTTTGGTTTTTTTTGGAGGAAGATTAGCCCTCAGCTAACTACTACCAGTCCTCCTCTTTTTGCTGAGGAAGCCTGGCTCTGAGCTAACATCCGTGCCCATCTTCCTCTAGTTTATATGTGGGACGCCTACCACAGCATGGCTGCCAAGCAGTGCCATGTCCGCACCCGGGATCCAAACCAGCGAACCCCGGGCCGCCGAGAAGCGGAACGTGCAAACTTAACTGCTGCGCCACCGGGCCGGCCCTTCTTAGTGTAGTTTTGATTTGCATTTCCCTGATGATCAGTGATGATGAACATCTTTTCGTGTGCCTAGTTGCCATCCGCATATCTTCTTTAGAGAAATGTCTGTTTGTGTCTCCTGCCCATTTTTTGATCGGGTTGTTTGTTGTTGAGTTGTGTGAGTTCTTTATATATTATGGAGATTAACCCTTTGTCAGATATATGACTTGCAAACATTTTTTCCCAATTAGTGGGTTGTTTTTTTTGTTTCAATCCTGTTTTCCCTTACCTTGAAGAAGCTCTTTGGTTTGATGAAGTCCCATTTGGTTATTCTTTCTACTGTTTCCCTTGTCTGAGAAGACACAGTGTCCAAAAAGATGCTTTTAACGCGGATGTCAAAGAGTGTACTGCCTACATTTTCCTCCAGAAGCCTTATGGTTTCAGGTCTTACCTTTAGGTCTTTAATCCATTTAGAGTTTATTTTTGTGAATGGCGAAAAAGAATGGTCAATTTTCCTTCTTTTACATGTGGCTTTCCAGTTTTCCCAGCACCATTTGCTGAAAAGACTTTCTTTCCTCCATTGTATGCCCTCAGTTCCTTTGTCGAAGGACGCAGCCCCTTTTTTGTAATGCTCACATCCCTCTTTGAAGGAGGCGGCATTATCCTTCTTTGCAGATGAGGAGACTGAGTGAAACCATTTGTCCAGGGTCATGCAGCTGATGCAGCTGATGTTAGACTCAGATGCACTAAGTCCAAACCCAAACCCAAATCAAGATCCTTCTGCTCTTCTCCCTTCTTCTTTTTAAAATCACCATTTTAAATAGTGAAGTATTTCACACTGATAAAAATAATAAAGAAAATAATGTAACAGACACTCATGTACTCAGCAACTAGGTAAAACAAATGTTAACGTTTTTCACGATTGTTTTAGGTTTCTTTTTTTTTTTTATGGCTCTGGATTTAAGCTCCCTCCTTATCTCAGGCACTGCTGAATTTTCTGTCTCCTCCTCTCCTCCTCCTTCTCCTTCATCTCTCTCTTTCTCCATAAGTAAATATATATACATGATTTGGTTCCAGAACTTTAAAAGCTTAAAGTATAGTTGGACAAACAGACCACTTGAATAAACGTATACATAAGGCACAAATGTCAAATGGTAAATGAGTTATAGTTAATAAGCGGAAATGTATCATTGGAAATGACATAACAGGAAGGGAAAAGCTTGGCTAGGAGACCAGGAGGCCCAAATCCTGTCTCGGGCAGCTACTCTGTTCACATCGTCCATCTCTACAGAGACTCTAAAAGAGAGAGACGTGCTTGGTAAACAAAGCAAGCCAATGAAGACTTTATTGCTGAAGGGGCTTTGACCTCAAACCCTACTGCACAGCTCCAGGGAGGTGACTAGGCCCTGGGGAGAATTGCCTTACCAACGTTTACTTTCTCTGCAAAGCTGAGAAATAAAACAAAGAGGCTCTGGTCTTGACTCAGGTCTTCCCACACGCCAAACAGAAGCACAACATTAAAATCAGGAAGCAGACAGGGTGCTCCTCTCCCACTGCTACTTAACAGAGCTCTGGAAACACAATCCAATGCAGTTAGAAAAAAATAAGAGATACAAATATCAGAAACAAGGCAAAATGGTCATGATTTACTGCTGATACGGTATTTTTAGAGGGCTCACAATGCTTACCCCAAAATCTGGGAACTAAAGAGAGCATCAAAAAGAGTTTATTTTATTAAAGTACACAAATTAATAGTTTTAATATAAACAAACAATAACCAGCTGGGAAATATAATAAAAGGAATATCTCATGTTACCAGAGCAAGTAAAAAAATAAAAGATTCAGAGATAAATTTTACAGGAAATGTAGAAAACCTGTACACAGAAAAATTTTAAATGACTGAGCAATGTAACAGATTTCCTTTATTCTTGGAAAAGAAAACAATAATATAAAGTCAAATCTCTCTAGTCCATTAATTTTATGTCAGTCCAAAAAAATAGTATTTTGAAAGAGAAGGAATTTTGCAAAATGATACTGGAATTCACAGAAATGAATGCAAAGAAAATTCCCAGGAGAGAGGGAAGAGTAAGCGGGAGAAGGCTGTGGGAGAGCAGCCCCAGTAGATAGTAAAGTCTACGAATGAGTAAAGTTCCATCTCCTGGAGATGAAATAAATAGATGATTCAATGGAACGGAAAAGAGAATCCACAAAGCACAGTAAACACATGTACTTACTTAGTGTCTTACGAAAGTAGCATTCCAAACCAGTCGGGCAAGTTTAATTATTCAATAAATTGTGAAGAAAACCGGCTCGCTGTTTGGAAAAAACATAAACCTCAGTTCCTGACTCATACCAGAATGGAATCCCAAACAGCACGGAGATCTCAACGTTTTTAGAAAACTATAAAAATACAAAACTAAAACATGGTCTCAGAGTGGCAGAGCAAAACACAAGATCCAGAGCCATAAGGCAGGTATTGATAAACTGTACAACAATCTAGTTAGATATACGTATGTTAAACAAAATCAAGGGCGAGCCCCATAGCCGAGTGGTTAAGTTTGTGTGCTCCACTTCGGCGGCCCAGGGTTTCGCCTGTTCGGATCCTGGGCGCGGACATGGGACCACTGATCAGGCCACGCTGAGGTGGCAACCTACAACTAGAAGGACCCACAACTAAAATATGCAACTTTGTACTGGGGGGATTTGGGGAGAAAAAGCAGAAAAGGAAAAAAAAGATTGGCAACAGTTGTTAGCTCAGGTGCCAATCTTTAAAAAAAATAATAAAAACAAACAAACAAAACAAAAAAACCAAAATCAAATGACAAACAACAAGCTAGGGGGAAAACTATATGCGACACGTATATTTATTTAATTTAGAAACTTCTTTAATTTACAAAGAATTTAAAATTTTTTTTATAAAACTGAAAACAATCTAGTAGAAAAGTAAACTAAAAGTAACAGCAGACAGGTACAAATGGTTCTTCAGCATATAAAAATATTCAACTTATAATTTTAAAAATGTTAAAGCAAACAATATGATAAAATGTTACACTCATCCAATTTGAAAAAATTGACAAGTTTGGTAATATTCATTGTTGATGAGAATGCAGGTTGTCTCATATGTGGTTGCTGAAAGTGTAAATTGGTACAGTGTCTCTGGAGAAAAGTTTGACCAAAATTTAAAATGCACGTGCCCTTTGATCTGGCAATACTATTGCTAGGAGTTTAACCCAAAATATATTTGCAAAAGTAGACAAGGAATATTTATAGTAATTATTGCATTGTTTATAATAGCAAAATCCACCAACAACTTAAAATGTCTATCAACAAGGGACTCCTTAAATAAATTATAATACATTCATACAATGGAATACTGTGCAGCCATTTTTTTAAATGATGCAGATCTATACAAGATCTGTATAGATAAAGTAAAAATAGCCAAAACAATTTTAAAAAGCAAGATTCAGACTTATGAGCATAATATAATCCTTTTTATATTATATACTATTATCTCCATTTTACAGATGAAGAAACTGAGGCATCACAAATTTATCAATTTACCCAAGATCGCACAGGTACTATGCGGTGGAGCCAGTGTTTAAAACCAGGCAGTTTAGTGTTCAAACTAAGTTAGTGCTGGTGAGGACGGAGATGAAAAAATAGATCTGAGAGATAGTAGGGTACAGAATCTACAAGACTAAACGTGGGGGATAAATAAGAGGGATAGGTCAGAGACAACTCCTAGATTTATTGCTGAGTATCTTTCAATTCTGAATTCTGGTTTCAGCAATCCCATTCTATTATCCTCCCAACTCTCCCATCCCCAAAGAAATTAGAAATATTAAATGGAAAATGTTTGTAATAACTTGGAATCTTGTTCAAATTTGATGAAATTGGTATAAGCCAAATAATTCCCAGAGCTTACACTGGTCCAGGGAACGTTTGAGTTCCCACCAACCAGAGTGGAAAGGCCTTGTTAAAAACAGAAGCTATTGGGGCTGGCCCTGTGACCAAGTGGTTAAGTTCACACGCTCCGCTGCAGGAAGCCCAGTGTTTCATTGGTTCGAATCCTGGGTGCGGACATGGCACTGCTCATCAAACCATGCTGAGGCAGTGTCCCACATGCCACAGCTAAAAGAACCCACAACGAAGAATATACAACTATGTACTGGGGGGCTTTGTGGAGAAAAAGGAAAAAAATAAAAATCTTAAAACAAAACAAAACAAAAACCCAGGAGCTATTCAGTAGAGAGAGCAGAAGTTTCACACGTTAGAAGTGGGGCTAAATTAGCTGTAGAGTAAAGCCTATTCTAGACTCACTCTAAAAGAGCTAGAAAATAATCTACTACAGGGCCAGCCTGGTGGCATAGTTGTTAAGTTTGTGTGCTCTGCTTCAGCAGCCCAGGGTTTGCCAGTTCAGATCCTGGGCGCAGACTTACACACCACTCATCAAGCCATGCTGTGATGGCATCCCACATATAAAATAGAGGAAGATGAGCACAGATGTTAGCTCAGGGCCAATTTTCCTTAGCAAAAAGAGGAGGATTGGCAGCGGATGTTAGCTCAGGGCTAATCTTCCTCAAAATAATAAAAATAATAATAATCCACTAAAAGATCAAACAGATCCAAACTAATTAAACTGCCTAACAAAGTCTAACACTCTTTAAAAAAATACAACAAAATCTATCAATAGCATGAGTCACAATGTCTACCATCCCATAAAAAATTAATAGACCTATGAAGAAGCAGGAAAATGACCCATAATCAAGAGAAAAGTCAGTGAATAGAAACAAACCCAGAAATGACAGAGGTGAAGGATTTAGTAGATCAGGATGTTAAAACAACTATTCAAATATGCTCCATATGCTCAAGGATATAGAGAATAACAAAAAAATAATGAAAATAGACATGAAAGTTATTTGCAAAATAAAATGAAAATTCCAGAGGAAAAAAAATACAATTAAAATGAAAATTTCATTGGATGCAATCAATAGCAGATTAGACATTGCCAAAGAAAAGATTCTGAACTTGAAGAAATAACAATAGGAAGCACAGAGAATAAAGTTCAAAACGTGTATTGAAAATCCTAAAGCAACCACGATTTAAAAAGCCAGTAGTGAAGATAAAATGGAATATGTACTAAAGGCTATTTACATTCACCACTTCTATTCAACATTGTACTAGAAGACCTAGCCAGTGCAATAAGGAAAGAAAAAGAAATAAAATGCATACAGATGGCAAATGAAAACACTGTCTTTATTCTCAGACAAAATAATCATGTACAGGGGGAAAAAACTGTGATCAATTAAATTTGGAAACAAACTGGCATTTATTGTTACTACGGAATTCTTGTTAATACTTTTAAGTTTGGTAATTGTATTGTCGTTATATTTAAAAAGATTTCTTATCTCTTTGTGATGCCTACTAAAATACACATGAGAGGATACGACATCTGGTATTTGCTACAAAATATTCTGCAATTTCAGGGATAGGAGAGAGAGAGGGTAAGGAAATGGGTTAAGGTACACGTGAAAAGGAACTGGTTTGAGTTGAAACTGAGTGATGCATATATGGATTCCTTATACTATTTCCTCTACTTTTGTATAGGTTGAAATTTTCCATAATTTTCTTTTGGGTGAGGAAGATTGTCCCTGAGCTAACATCTGTGCCAGTCTTCCTCTATTTTGTATGTGGGCTGCTGCCACAGCATGGCTTGATGAGCAGCACATAGGTCAGCACCTAGGATGTGAACCTGTGAACCCTGGGCTGCTGAAGCAGAGCACATAAACTCAACCACTGTGCTGCCAGGCTGGCCCCCATAATCTTTTTTTAAAGACAGCATAAGAGAATGAAATGAGTAAGCCATCAAGTGGCAGAATATACAACACATGTGAACAACAAAATGTATCCCGAATATATAGAGTTCCTACAAATCAATTTTCAAAAAACAGACAACCCAACAGAAAAATAGACAAGACACTTAAACAGGCACTTCATCCTCCCCCTGACCAAAGAAAGGGATATGGTCAGCAAACTGATTCATTAGTAAGGCAAAAATAATTAAAGCGCAATGATTACCACAATATACCCATTAAAGTAATTGAAATAAAAAAGACTGGCAATACCAAATGTTGGTGAAGATGTGAACCGATGAGAATGCTCATACACTTCTGGTGAGCATGTATGTTGATAGAACCACTTTGGAAAATAGTTGGCATTATCTACTAAAGTTAAATATTTACGTACCTCATGACATAGCAAGTCTCTTCCTATGAATATTCCAGAGGGAAATGCATTTCATGTGCACCAAAATCCGTGGGCAAGAATGTTCATAAGCAGTATTCTTCATAATAGCCTCAAACCAAGGAGAATCCAGATATATGCCTGTGGAAGGATGGCTAAACCACACTGTAATCCTACAATGAAGTTCAACACAGCAATGAAAATGAACAAACCACAGCTAATATGCTATCACACACCTGAGTCTCCCAAACATGACATTAAGTGAAAGAAGTCAGACACACAGGAATCATACTGTGTTATTCCATTTACATAAAAATCAAAAATACGCAAAACAAATATATGGTTAAGTCGGGAAAGTGGTTACTTTCGGAGAGGAGCATAGGCAGTAATTGGGAGAAAGCATAATGAGGGCTTTCAGGTGCTGACATCGTTTTATTTCTTGACATGAGTGGTAGTTAAATGCATGCTCACTTTGTGAGAATTTTGCGTTGCCTACTTATAATTTGTGCATTTTTCTGTATATGTGTGTACTTCACATTAAAGAATTTAAATAATAAAGAGATAAGTGGTCCAATCATCCATTGATCTATGCATTGATCTATCCATCAATTCATTCAGTGAACCTTTGTCGAGAGTTGGATGCAATAATTATTGGAGCACCTAGCTCTGGAATGGGTTGTGGTGCAGGTTTCACAAGGAGGAAAAAAAAGTTCTTGTTTTTCTTTTGATCCCATGACGCTGTGCAGAGGACAAATAAAAAGCAAGTGTTCTGGAACCATTTATTCACGAAACTTGGTTTAGTCTTCACTCTACTATAACTTACTCAAGCTGCTTTGCCCCTCTGGACTTGTGATAACTCTGGAGTAGATGATCTCTCCTTCAGCTCTGAAATTCTCATTTATTAATTAATCAGCTTTAGCTGAGCACATATTATCCGTGCTAGTTACATTGCTGAAGATTGGAGTCACAAAAACAAGCAACAAAAGCATGGGCCTGCCCTTCAGAGGCTCACAGCCCCATTGAGAGCAAAGGGACCATTGTGACACCAGGAGGCACGCTTTGGTGGAGTTCACGCCCAGGACGTTGAGCGCGCATGTGAGGTGCAGCTAACGGAACCCCAGAGGAAGGCTGCCCACCCCGTCCTGTGCAGGCTGTGTGTGAGGTGCTGCTCTACAGGATAGAGTGTTACCCGGGCTGGGCCTCAGGGCTTCTCAGAGGCTGGGGAGCAGGAGGAGCCACCAGACAGAGAAGCAAGGGAAAGAGAATCCAGGGGAAGGACCTGAGTGAACAAAACAAAGTTTTTTATGCTTATTTTTCAGCTTATTATGGGAAATCTAATAGTTTGTGTAATAGAATGGTGGGGGGCAGCGTACAGAGGGAATGGGAGTCCAGAGTGTGGCGGGGCCAGAGCAGGGAAGGCCTCGATTGCCTTCATATGAAACCACAAGTCAATATTTACCCAGCGGGAAAGAGCTGCGTCTCCTCCTCCCCCGACCCGGGGACGACTTCCGGGAGTCACGCGCTGGCTGGCTCAGCATGAGAGCAGGCTCCTAGTGGCCAGGTCAGGAGCACCTGGTTGCTAGAGGTCTGATAGCCTTACTGCAAAAAGTGAAAATTCTAAGGGCTCTTCAAAATCCCAAGAGAATACAGGCCCACTGAGAATGTGGGTCACTAGCGAGGCAGATGTGAAGTTTGTTGCAGGTTGGAAAGCACAATAAACCAAGCAGGGACCCACCTAGAAGGTCCCCACTAGATACCTTGGAGGAGCTGGAAAGAGAGCATTGCCCCTCTGGCAAGGATCTGTTGATTCTGCTCACCCGGCCCTCCCAGAGGCTGCCAATCCTTTGACGGACCTGAAGGGTTGCTTTGCATTTGGGCTCAGCAGATGTGGCCATTTACATACGGGTTTGTTGTTAGTGCCATGGATTCCAACTCCTAGCGACCCTGTGTACAGCAGAGAGGAACTCTGCCAGGTCTTTTTGCGTCCTCCTCTCATCTTCCTGCACTCTATTAGGCAATGCTCCACTGCTGTTCACAGGGTTTTCATGCTCAGTTTTTCCGAAGTGGGTGGCCAGGTCCTGTGACAACCAGCAAACGATGCGGTGGTTCCCTGACCAGGAAACCAAGCTGGGCTGTGGCGTGAGAGTGCCGAATCTTAACCACTAGACCACCAGGGTTGGTTTTACATATAGGTAAATGGTTTCACATACAGGTAAATTTCCATATGTTAGACATGAAGATTAGCAGGTCTTCAAACTATTGAATGTTAGTAAGATCAAAACCTCAGGTCTATTAAGCACTCACCAGGGTAACCAACTAATAGGCATCAAGATTTCCACCAGAGAACCAAGATCTGCCACTATCTTCGTGGTAGGAAATACTCAGAGCTTAGGAAAAACTTCAGAGGAACCTCTACAAGCCTCAGTGCTCCTGAGCACTCTGTCGTCGGCAGGCAGCTCCCCACATGATGGCTCCCCTGCTCCCCTCCCAGGGAAGGGGCGTTCGTCCATGGGCCCACTGCCCTGTGCCATTCTGCTGTTTAGGGGCACTCCTGGTGGTCGTTCATGACGGGGCACTGCTGGCTTTTAAGGGCCAGGGCTAAGGGACATCTTGCAGTGTGTGGGCTGGTCCTGCCTGATGGAGAATCGTCCCTCTCCTGCGTGACTTCGGAATGTTTGCTTTAATATGTACAAAGCGCAACTTGGGGTTTAAAGAAATATTGAAGCTATGAGAAAAGTAATGAGAAAGGAAATGTAGATCATCACCAAAATATTGAAAATCCATAAGAAAATAGAAGCCACTTTCCAAAAGTCCAATTTGGATATAATCTTTTCAGAAAATGGGGATCAACAGTACTGCTCTCCTCCTTGAGGCATTAGTCAGTGTGCATGTGTGATGGACACACTTTAGGTGCTAAGGGACTTTCCCTAGGACTGAACCTAGCAGAGCTGGTTTAATACACACAGGCTGGTGCAAGGAAGAGCGCTCAGACTCAGCCCGGATTCAGAGATTCAGGGTTCGAGCATCAAGAGAGGCTGGGGGCTCTCCTAGTGGACCTCACAGGGCCCTGGTTTGGGAAAACTGTGTGGCATGAAGCCAGCAGATCTTGAAGTGCTGAAGATCCTTCTAATCAGTCCTCAGCATGCATGAAAATGGCCTGGGTTGATGGAGGGCATTGGGGATGAGAAGAAAGTTGGAGGTGGAGTGGGGCAAGGGTGAGCAGATATCTCTAATGGATTACTGTAAGAGCCTGGGAGAATCATTCAAAACCAGGAAGTTCCTCCAGAGCCCTCCTCCACTGCTTTCCCTCCACCCTCAGTGGTCATCAAGATATGGAATGTGTAGTGAGTTGAATGGTGGCCCCCAAAAAGACATGTCCACATTCTAGCACCTGTGAATGTGACCCTATTTCGTAAAAGGTTTTGCACATGCAATTAAGTTAAGGATCTTGAGATGAGTTCCCCCCGGATTACCTTGGTAGGCCCTAAATCCAATCACAAGTGTCCTTATAAAAGACAGAAGAGGAGAAGACATCAAAGGCCATGTGAAGATGGAGCAGAGATTGGAGAGATGCAGCCACAAACCGAGGAATGTCTGGAGCCCACAGAAGTTCAAGAATAGGCAGGGAAGCATTCTGCCCCAGAGCCTTCAGAGGGAGCATGGCCCTGCTGACACCTTCATTTTGGACTTCTGGCCTCCAGAACTGTAAGAAAATAAACTTCTGCTGTTTTAAGCCATTGAGTTTGTGGTAATCTGTTATAGCAGCCACAAGAAACTAATACGGAGTGTGTCTGGAACCTCGCACACCCAGGTTCTACTTTGTAGTCCAGAGTGGGAACCCTGAGTTGTCATCAAAGCTACCAGGTGGTAAAAATACTTTCCCCGGGGAAGCAAGGAGGGGTGATGTCGGGGGATGAAGATTTCACATAAAGACGGGGACAAGGCCCAGCATGTCAGGGACTACCTGGGTTGGGAGGGCTCATCCTGAGGTCAGTACCATCTGTGAGGCCGGGTTCGATCTTGCAACCCTTGCTTTGCTGAGCCTCTGCTGGAAGCTGGAAGTGTGGGCCACCTATAATGTGGGGCCTCAGTGAGGACCTTGCTGGTGGGATGGACTGGTAGTGTCCAGGTACAAGATGGGAGCAGCACTAAGAGTGACCAAGGATGCAGGGGGCAGAGCAGCCATATGACCAGGGATCCCTAACTACAGAGGTGGGGCAGGACCACTAGCCATGCTTTGCAGCAAGCACAGAGAGCAGTGTCCTGCAGGCCACAGCCACAACATGGGACCCAGATGGGGACCCAGCCCGACACCTGTCACAGGAAGGGAGAAACCCAAGGTGAGAATGTGGTCCCAGGGATCCCAACAGTGGTGGAGGTCAAGACCACATCTTTACACTTTGGCTTGCCTGCAATAAAACGTAATAACGGGGATTGACACGTGCCTGGCCTGGGCTAAGCACTTTACATGCTCACCAAAACCCTTTAACCCGCATTGCATAGATGGGAAACCAAGGCTTAGGGAGCTTGGTAACCTGCTGATGATCCTGTGGCACAAAGCTCAGCCAGGATTTGCGCCCAGGCCTGTCTGCCTCCAGAGCCCAAGAGCTCACACTGCCACTCACTGGCGAGGAGTTCATTTTCCCAGTCACTGAAACCGCTCTTTGCAGCAAACCAATTTTTCCATTTCTCCCACTTCACAGAAATCTCTTCATCTCTGTCTCATTACACATTTACTTGCCTTATGAAACCGAGTGCTGCAAACGTAACTCGAACTCAGATGGGTAGCTGGGGGAACTTCTTTAGAACCGGACTGAGCCTGCGACAGCTATGCCCTCTGGGGCTGTCTGTCCCAGGACTTCAAGTTCTTATGTTCCATTTTTCTCGTCTTTCTGTTCCCAGTCTAACTACCCTACTTTCTGAACTTGAGTCCATCTTTGTACCTGCCTCTAACAATTTACCCCCCTTCCAAAAGCTGTTTTTTAATCTATGTTACAGAAAACTAAATAGCCACATTAGAATTACGTCTAAAACAAGAGTAGACAGCCCCTAAGTAAGGAGCTCGGTGTCTCTCCCAGGCATAAGTTACAAGAATTTGTCTCCCTGCATCAATTCTGCAACCATTTTGTTGTAAATGCTTTTTTCCCCCCACCCTGCTTCACTTTTTGAACGGGATCTTAATAGCGGAAATTATTGGATTGAGGGTCTCTAAAGAACTGAGAAGTTGTTATAATATCTATTATCACTCGAGGGACCTACCCTTCCACTAGGTGACTCTGACCCCTGTGACAGGCACCTGCTTTCAGAGTCCAGCTTAATAATGCCAATCCCACTTCTCACTGACATCCTGGGGCAGCAACCCAACGTCTCAGCACCATCTGAAAGAAGCTGTGGGAAATATCTGTGTTGTCTTGTTCATGTGAGCAGACAGGAGTCAAGGGATCAAATCATAACCCATTATTTTATTTTAAAATTTAATTGATATGGAAATAAAAACTATTTACGTCGTCTGAGAACATTGAAATGTTCTTCGTGGCACAATATCGCCACCTGCTGACCAAAATCTCATAGCGCAATTGTGTTTATAAAATGTGCAGAATGTGTTAGCTACCACCCTTAAACTGAGCACAGATTACGACAATTTGTGTTCCAACACAAAATAACTATGATACTTCTCAACTCCACCCAGGTGAGCATCAATTTCAGATTACATTTCCTTTCTTTAGTTCTTCAGAAATATACTTCCATTTAAAATAAGAAAGCACAAGTGTTTTATTTTTCATTTATTTTAGCCTTTACAGTTAATAAGTAAGAATTGTAAAAAGAAAATAATAATGGACTCATTATCTGGTGATAAAGAGGGCTAGAGAAAGCATGGTGCGTGCTGAAGAGAGACCTGGTTTCACAGTCCCCGTGTCCAATGCATTAGACGTGTAAATCTGAGCCTCAGTTTCTCCACCTGTACAATGGAAATAAGAAGACCTATCATAAAGTACAGTCCTGCAAAGTAAATGGCATATATATGGTGCATATCACAAGTACTTTAGTACATACTGATTTAGCCTTCTTTCATTAAAGAAACAATCATTCTGTTAACTAAATACACACCCATTTGCCGTATTTCCTCTAAAACTATCACAAGAGAAATTTGATTTAAAGCACAAATCTCATACAAGTCTCTAAAAGTAAAAGCAAAGCTCAGATGGTAGAGTAGATGTTTGGTCTTTTTTTTAACTTCTTGGTTCATGGACAGTGATTTTTACCGGATAACTTACTAAAGACATAGAATTTAGTGCAGTAAGGTTGTGCTCTTACAAACATAATTTTATTTTTAAAGTGAATCTAACACTGTTATCTGAGGAAGGAGACAGCTAAATTGATCTGAGCGCACGACCTCTCTGGGACGTCAGAGTGAGCAGGTCTCAGAGTGGAGACGAGGTGGCGGGTCTTCAGAAGAAAAACGTTCCATTCGGAGAGCAGAGAGAACTTTTCCTAGTTATCTTTGTTTATCCATTATCCTCACATGAAGTGCCTCCCTCTTAAAGTATTATAATTATTTATTTTAATTTAATATGTCAATACAATCCCTATTAATAATGTACTACTTAAGAGGTAGATTCTAGAGTCAGACTGATAGGCTCAAACCCCAGTCTTGGGCCAGCTGTCTAAATTCCCTCCACCTTCCTTGTAGGCCTATTATAAAGTTAAGTGAATTAATTCATGCAGTTGCATGCAGCTGGAGCAGTCCTGGGCACAAAGTGAGTGCTCAGAAATGTTGTTTATACAACGATGTTTTGTAACAGGAAATGCTACTCTGAGATTCTTGGATGTAATAAGTTCCCAAATGAGAATGTGCTAATACACAGAGTGCTCACCCTAGTGCCTGAGCTGTACAAAGTGCTCAATATATGTTAGCATTACCATTATATATATATATATAGCATTATTATTATAATGATAGAATTATTATACATAATAAGTTGAAATAAAGAATCACCTGCCAGGCTTGTGCTAGATGCACAAAGGCCCGAAGGGAGAAAAGGAAACAAATATTGTAAAGTTCGTGTGCTCTACCTGAAGTGGTGTATTATCACTAGACGGTAGACTGTGATAAATTAAAATGTATGCTATAAACCCTAAAATAACCACTAATCAAACACAGCAAAGAGTTATAGTTAATAAGCCAAAAAAGGACATAAATGGAATCCCTAAAAATATTCAATTAACCCCAAAAAAGGCAGTAAAAAGGGGGAAAAAAGAACAAATGAGAAAACAGGAAAGCAAACAGTAAGATGATAGATTTAAACAAATTGTATCAATCATCATACTACATGTAAGTGGTCTAATTAGTGCAATTAAAATTCAGAGACTGTCAGATTGTATTAAAAAGCAAGACCCAATTATATGCCACCTACAATAAATATACCTGAAATATAAAGACACAAACAGATTAAAAGTAAAAAGATGGGGAAGCTACACCATGCTAACATTAATCAAAAGAAGGCTTGAGGTGGGGCTGGCCCAATGGCGTAGTGGTTAAGTTTGTGTGCTCTGCTTTGGTGGCCTGGGGTTTGCAGGTTTGGATCCCAGGTGCAGACCTAGCACCGCTTGTCAAGCCACGGCATCTCACATAAAATAGAGCAAGATTGGCAACAGATGTTAGCTTGGGGCCAATCTTTCTCACAAAAAAAAAAAAGGAAAGAAAACTTGAAGGGATGTATTAATATCAGACAATATGTTTCAGAGCAAAGAATACTACCAGGGATGAAAAAAAAGTCTTTTTTTTTTTTTTTTTTGGTGAGGAAGATTGGCCCTGAACTACTGTCTTTGCCAATCTTCCTATATTTTGTATATGAGTCACCACCACAGCATGGCTTGATGAGCAGTGTGTAGGTGCATACCTGGGATCCAAACCTGTGAACCTCAGGACACCAAAGTGGAACACACAAACTTAACCACTACGCCACTGGGCCAGTCCTGAAAAAAAAGTCATTTCTTAGTGATAAAGGGGTCAACTCATCAAGAGGATATAACAATCCTAAATGCTTATGTATCTAACAACAGAGATTCAAAATACATGAAGCAAAAACTGATTGAACCGCAAGTGGTAGTAGACAGATCCACAATTATTGTCAGTTTTCGATACCTCTCTCAATAATGGATAGAACAAGTGGTCAGAAAATCAGTGATGATATAGAAGATTTGAACAGCATTATCAACCAGCTTGACCTGGCTCAAATCCCAGTCTTGGGCATTTATAGAACACTCAACAACAGCAGAACACGTGTTCTCTTCAAGTGCACACAGACCATTTACCGAAATAGATCATATTCTGGGTAAGAAAATAAGAATCAATAAATATGAAAGGATTCAAGTCACACAAAGTATGTTCTCTGACCACAATGAAATGAAATCAATAACAGAAAGATCTCTGAAACCCCAAAGATCTCTGAAACTAAATAACATACTTTGACTAACTCATGGGTCAAAGAAGAAATCAAAATGCAAAATAGAAAGTATTTTTAACTTAATGAAAATGAAAACATGAAATTTGTGGGGTTCTGTAAAGTAAAGCAGTACCTAGGAATCTTATAGTATCAAAGACTTATAATAGAAAAGAATAAAGCCCTCAAATCAATGACTTCAGCGTCCATTTTAAGAAATTAGAAAAAGAAAAAAGTGAAACCCAAATTAGAAGGAAAAATGTAATAATAAACTTAAGAGTAGAAATCAATGAAAGGTGAAAAAACCCCTCCAAAATAATAGAGAAAAATCAATGAAACCAAAAGCTTTGAGAAGATCAATAAAATTGGTAAATCTCTAGCCAAGTCGAACAGAAAGAAAAAAGGAAAAACACAAGTGACCAATAGCAGGAATAAGAGAGGTGACATTGCTACAAATTCTACACATATTAAAATGACAATAATGGGATAACATGAACAACTTTATGTTAATAAATTTGACAACTTAGATGAAAGGGACAAATTGCCTGAAAAACACAAACTAACGAGGCTCACTCAGGAAGAAATAGATAAACTAATTAGCCTTAAATCTATTAAAGAAATTGAACTCATAGTTACAAACTTTCCCACAAAGAAGCCTCCTGGCCCAGGTGCTTCATTAGTGAATTCTATCAAACACGTAAGGAAGAAATAATGCCAAATAGAGACAGTATCTTCCAAGAAATCAAAGAGTTCCCAACTCACTTTATGAAGCCAGCATTACCCTGCTTCCAAAATCAGACAAAGACTTTACAAGAAAACTACAAACCAAATCCCTCATGTATATTCAACTATATTCTTGCAAAAATTCTAAATAAAATGTTATAAATTTCAGTCCAAGAATACATATATCATGACCAAATAGGATTTATCTCAGATGTGAAAGATTGGTTTAACATTCAAAAATCAAGCCATACAATTCACCATATCAAGAAACTAACAATGAAAGCTGTATAATCGTCTTAAGAGACACAGAAAAAGCATTTAACAAAGTGCAATATTTGCTCCTGATTTTTAAAAAACTCACAGAAAAATAGAAATAGAAGAGAATTCTATCAACTTGATAAAGCTTATCTATGAAAAACTTACAGATATTACACTCAGTGGTGAAAAACTGAATACTTTCCCCTAAGGTCAGGAACAAGAAAATGATGTCCTCTCTCACCACTTCCAATCACCACTGTACTGGAGGTTCTAGCCAATGCTACCAAGCAAGAAAAAAAAAGGCATCCAGATTAGAAAAGAAGACAGAAAATTATCTGTTTTTTTTTTTTTTTTTTGCATGACATGATTGCCTATGTAGAAAACCCAATGGAA